CAAATTTGTATTCAGCAAATTTAAAGTTCTACAAACCAATATCTAATAAACAAGGCGTACGCCAGTCGTGTTAAAAATTAATCAATAATTATTATATTTAATTAACTATTAAAAAAAATATATTATTATTATTATAATATATTTTGATATATAGCTTAATTATTTTAAATAATATATTTATATTTCAAAAAAGTGAAATTATTAGAGTACCATATTTAGATATTTTAATTTCATAATTAAAATTTTTTTTTAAGTCTTATTATATATATATAACTAAATAGATATTTGTAGCTACTTAGTACTATTTCTAATATATATTAATTTTAATATTAATTTTTCTTTATTGCTTAAATAGTTTATTATAAGTATTTAATATTAAAATTGTTGATTAATTGGTTATATAAAAGATATTACTTTTTTTATATATAAAATTTTATATTTTTATAAAATAATAAAATAATAATGTTTATTTACTTTTGAAAAAAAGCACTAAAGCAATAATGTTTATTTATTTTAAATAATAATAATAATAAATTTTTTTATAAAATATATAAATAATTTATAATTATTTTTTTATAATTATTTTTTAATCAAACTGTTAGTAGTATATTTATTAATTCAATTTTAAACAACAATAATATAATATACAATATGATACTATACTATAGCTAAACAATTCTTTTATAGCAGAATACCTATTAATAAGTTATAGATTTGTATATAATTCTTGAATCTTTAATATCAAAACCATCATATTGTTCATATAATCTAACTATTTATTAACTATTTTATTATAAAAGAGTAAGTTTATTAAGCTATTATTACCTTATATTAATTATCTTAAACTTTTAAATCCTAACTCTCTAAATATAATTATAGAAAATAATAAAGTTGCCCCTTTTCAAAGTTAAATATCAAAATCTTAGCTCTAAGAGATCAAAGCCAACTTATATTTAGACTGTTATTTCAACACAATCTTGTTGTTTTAAAAGATAAAAAATTTTTTATTTTTTTAAGAAATAAAAAAAAGATAAAAGAAAAAAAAAAAGTTTGTGCTAATAAATAAAAACCCATCTAAACCAATTACCAGTTTAATAAGAATCTTTTTTGATTTTGAAGAGAAAAGAAACTAGTATAAGAGGGAAAGGGAAAGACTTTAAGCCACTTCTTATCAAGAGAATATTTGACACTTCACTTTTTCACCATTATCTAATTGCATTATCAATTGTAATATAATATAACATGAAATATATAGGAGTACATGTCTTGTTTACTTATTTTTTATATATCAATCAACCAGTTCAAGATTTTAGCCAATTATCAACTAGAGATTTTAATGTAACAAAAAATTCAGGATCAAATTGAGATAGGTAAAATTCTTTAAAAAAATCAAAAAAATTTAACATGCTTAAAAATATTACTACAAATATATATAACTAATAAAGAAAGATTATACACTTAAGTAGGTAGGTTTCTACTAACTTATTTATCTACCTGAATCACAAGAATTTTAACTTATAATAGATTTAAGATTCTTATGGAACTTGGGAAATATATTTATTTGATAGGTCTAATTAGTTTATTCACCTGTCTTAAATCAAAAGCTATTTACTTATGATGGATTCAAAATTCTTATAGAGCTTGAAAAATGTATTTACTAGTGATTTACTTTCTGAAGTTTCAAACCTAAGAAAAATATAATGGAGATATTTTTTTGACAGGTTTTTTTTTTCCAGTAAGGTGTTTTTGCTATAAACTGAATGGATAAAGTTTTGTTTATTTTGTTATTGAAACATACAAAATTTTTAGAAAAAAGAAAGGTAGACAAGTAGGAGAGGCATCAACCTTCAGGAAGTAAAATTTTTAATAAAAGTATATAGACTTTATTATTAAAAATAAAGAAATATTTTTGAGAGCATCTGTTTTTTTTGAATTGGCAAGGGAATTAGTGAAAAGAGTTTTTTTTTTATAATTATTTTTTTATAATAATTAAAAATCTTTTATTTTTAAATATAATTTTACTAATATATAATTATATAATAACAATTTTTTTTAAATAATTTTTTGATCTTTAAATCTTTAAATAATATAATATACATATTATATTACAGTATATTATTAATTGATTATTATGAATTATAAGCTAAAATAAGAATCCAAAGACTATTGCACCAGACTATATATGCAAATCATTAAATTGTTTGAAAATTTGTCAATATAATTGAAAATATAAAAAAATTACTTATATTTTTAAATAATTGTGTTGGTTAAATAAGTTTTTCGATTTAATTATCAGTTTAAAAAATAAATGTGATCCATAAAATTTAATTATATTATGAATATTATAAATAATAAATACTGTATAAGAAAAAATATTTATTTTTTTATAATAAAATAAAAAACTTATTTCGTTGATAACTTTGAAGTATTTTAAAAAAAAAATTGTTTCACATGTATATTGTTAAAGGAATTAAAATTATTATATTAAAAAAAAATTATAATATAGAAACAAAACTTATAAATATTTTTTGATATTGAAAAGGGTTTTAAATTATAATATGTTTGTTAATTAATCAAACAGAAAAGATCTTTCTGAATAAGTGTTATGTTTGAAGTAGATTTATTGAAAGCTATTTATTTACTTATTATTTTTAGATTTAACAAAAAACTATTGTGCAAAACTTTGAGCTTGTGATTATGATCCAGGGAAGAAACGGTAATAGCGATAACGATCATTAATTATAATATAAACAATGCATTCCATCTAGCAAAAAGAATAGTAGGCATTTCGACTTTACTATTTTTATTTTTTTAAAAAATAATTTACAATAAAATAATGTTACAACTCAGCTCCTTAAATAAAACGCTCACGTCGCTTGCGACGAGCACAGAACAGAATAAGAATTCGCAAGTAATTTAGTATTTAAAGGAAATCAAAGAATTTTATACAGGACATTTGAATACAAACATATACATGCATATATAATAATCTCTCTCAATTTGATTGTTTATGCTCAAGCTGCATATTTACAAAAAAGGGTGTCACTAAATAATCATAATTAAACATTTAAATTACAATATCATACCTTTTATTTCAATATCCAAAGGATCCTAAATGAGACAGAATTAAGTTAATATACATGTCCTAACAAGAGATTTTCTAATGATTTTAACATATGATTCACCTTGCCAGCTCGAATTTCTGTGGCACTTGGAAGTAGGCCAAGCCTTAACTATATGCAAAAAGTTTGGCGTAAGAATTTTCATATTTTGATTTTTAATAATCAAAAAATATTTCTACAAACCAATTCAGCACAATGGGATGCTAACGGATCTTTTCCCAATGTGGCAACTGCCAAAACTTTATCACCACCTAAACATAAAACAAATAATATATTATTGGTATAGAACGTATTATGGTAAATCGCTTTCCAAAAATCAATAAAAATAATTACGAGAATAGTAGACCGCAAATTTCAATTCTTCCAAGCTTCCATGCACAATCACATCATCGTAACTGCTTGCATAACCAGCATATCTTAAACTTTTACCATATTGGGCACTCCAAAAGTATGGAATTCTTTTAAACGGCACAAGTCGCTTTTTGGCTATCAGTTCTGCAACGGCTCTGCCTGTATTCACGGCAAACGACTAAAAGTAGTATATATTTATTGATAAATATTACCGTAAAGAAAAAAAATATATTTTTTAATAAATCAGATACCCAATGTTCAATGCGAAGACTCTCTCCAGTAATGTGATATGGAAATCTTGCAATATCGCCTAAATTTGCAAAGTGAAAATTTGGTTAAACGCATACGAATAACATTAATTCAGATTTTGTTTGCATGTAGAATACCAATTGCATAGACGTCCTTAAGCCCAACAACTTTGAAATTTTCATCAACTTTGATGCTTCCATCCTTCTCCAGCGTGAATCCCCGAGAATCTTTTAAGAATTCCTAAAATTGACAAGCTCGATTAATAATTCGCATTTCATTTAATGATCTGTAATAGAACATTAGAATGGAAACTCGTACCGTTGCCGGTGCCACACCAGCTCCGACTACAATAATGTCGGCAGGAATCTTGACGCCATCATTTATTATTACCGCCCCTACTTTGGTAGGATCGGTGCCTGTATTTAAATAAGAATATGATGTTTGGTAAATAAAAATCACCGATCAATTGTTACTATCTATTTAAAGATGGGTGTTCCTTTATGAACGCATTTTTTATCTGACTAACTTGAAGGTTCAATGCCCTTTACTGAAGCCGACATATAGAATTTTACATTGTTGGTTTCATGTAATTTTTGGATTGTTCTTCCAACCTCAAGACCAAGAATTCTTTCGAATGGAACCTATAATAAAAGTAGTAATTATATTTTCATGAATACGTTATTGTCTGAGCTGAAAACAAATAATTTAAAACTTTTTCTATTAACCGTTTCCATTCCAATCACGGATACATTTGCTTTCTTAGCGCAAATCGCTGCAACCTCCATTCCAATAAATGATGATCCGATGATCACTACATTTTTTTTTTCTTCACCGGCCACGGCTTTTTGTGCAAACAAGAACAATGTGAATATTGCGCCAAAAATTTATCGCATATTTACGCGAATCACGGGGAAAATTTTCACCATTTTCAATTCTTTTATGGTCATCATAAGTACGGAGATATAAAACACCGCCAAGATCAATTCCAGGAATTGGGATAGAACGTGGCTAAATAATGTAAAAGTTATACAGTAAGCTATAACATTATTTGAATGATAAACAGTTTGACTTACTGAAGCACCGGTAGCAATAATAAGTGAGTCATATTTAAATTTTTCATTGTTACTAATGGTAACAACTTTTGATTCGGAATCCACTGCGGTAACGGACTATAAGAAAATGCATGTTATAATCTAAGAAGATAAACTTAAAACACCATTAACCATGTATTCTTATAAAAATACTACCAACCATTCCTAATTTTAACGTAATATACATGTCATTGTAAAACTCTTTCTTCCTGAGCTCTATTTTTTCGAGTTGCATTCCTAAGCCTTTGCTGAGTTTAGGTCTACAAAAATATAGATATTACTAATAATCCTATTATTTAATTCGATGAATTCGAACATACCTGTCGATTGGCAAATAAGTTTCGCGACTTATAATCACAATCCTCCCTTCGAATCCATCCTAAACAATTATTGGCAAAAAATATTAGGTAGAGATAAAAACAGGTAATTATGTTTACTGATTACCTCGCGAAGCTTTTCCGCTGCTGCGTTACCAGCTGCACCACCACCAATGATCACCACAACATAATCGTTGAACGGGGATACACCAGAAGAACATTTTGGAATTCTCCTAGCAGCTTTTAGAGCTAACGGGCACACACAAATGAGAAGTGTTCGCGTAAATAAGAATTTTAAGTTTTGAATTTTGCGTGGCGTAATAAGCATACTTGATTCATTGGTTTCAATGTAAATATCATTTCCTTTCATAATGACCTATTTTAGATGTGATTAATCATTTGATTCTTAATATAAGCAAAATAATAGGAATACCTTATATTTCTGAAGATGGTCTAATGCGGGTGCATCCTCTAAATAGTGCGATCAATTACATGAGATTCATATTTCCGATAAGTTAATATGTTTCGATAGAATGTATGGATAGATACCTATGTCACCAGTAGTAAGGTTAAAACAGGCACCATGCCAAGGGCTAAATTTGTAGTGTGATGTTAAATACTAAAATATTACTCATATAAAACAAAATCAAATAAACGCTTGCCAAGTTATGCGACCGTCACTCGAATAAACGCCGTTGATAAGGGAAGCCTATGCAAAATTTTTATAAAGAAATATTTAGAAACCATCCGAACTCGTGCTTCTTTTTTGTAAAGACCAATATTAAGAACTTTTGTTCGTTTGCATTCCGAATAATTTAAAACATAATCCCAATAATGACTTACTCCATAATGCGTACACTTGTGAGAGGTAGCGTATACCTGCCCATCAAATTTGGATAGAAGAACTTTCAAGTTATCCTTGACAGTAACTTCTTTACTACAGAATTAGAAGAAATTTTTATAAATTTGAATAAATACGCGAAAATCAATTTAAAAAAATACTTTAATTTCGATTTAAAAAACAACCAACGTACACCTTTTTTTCTTCAAGTTCTTCTAATTTTCCTACAAAGTATTCAGTCATCGTGGAATACTGTCTAGATAAAAAAATCTTCTGAAAACGAAAGGTTCTCGTCCAAGAAAAAAACCTGAGAGAAATAGCACTCATTCTTATAATAACATTTTTCCAAAAATAACAGCCACTGTCATAAAGTAGCCACAGTAAGATAGGATTCGCAGGATAATCAGGAATCTGACCAGTTGTGGCTTACACTTCCTCGTAATTAATACATCACACGATGGTGTCTTTTTTAATACTAATTTTTAATGTTTATAGAGATTCTAGTATATCATTACTTCATCCTTGCTAAGCAAAATTTGTAATAAGTGCCAACTTATTGATTTTTTGGGGGGAAGTCGATCTATTCTAATTGAATGTGTCAAAAATATATCGTTTTAAACTAGTCAACTTTTGGGGTTTTCGAATTATCTAGTCCCCCCAAAGGTCAATCGTGTAAGTTGTTTATTATTTATATCACACGATGATACTCCAAACCATTGTAAATTGTATGTTTCCATGTTACGAAAATTGTCGCGTATATTGTGTATCAAAATTAATGTTCTCTGAAATATTTCTAGTCATGTAATAAATACATATGTATTATCTTAGAAAGATATATTAAATTAGTATATGGTAAAAATACTAGCTTTATACAAGACACCGATTAAATTAAAAACATTATTTTGGTCAAAATGGCGAGTCTGTTGCTTATCGGAGAATGTGTAATGTGATCTTTCGAGGTAATAGTACGCGTGTAATGACACATCAGATGGTTTCGACCCTTTATTCTGTTTAGTATACTGTATATCTATAACAAATAACAGATGTCATATATACAATAAATCGAAGTATCTAAAGTTCTGCCAAGCCGCAAATTATTATGGCACAACGCAAGGCCACATACCGCCAACTTATCCCGTACAATATATTATGATTCATATAAATTATAATTACATAATATTAAGGAAGAATGATCTAGATCACATCCGTAGCTTTGTTTTAAATAAATATACTTCTTTATTAAAGTTTTTAAGAAGCAAAATTCATAAATATAAAAATAATTTCATAAAAAAAATAAGTTAAAAAGGAAATATAACAATAGTATTAATTTTATCGTTCAAAAGAAGTAAGTTGTTTTATAAAATCTTTATATTAATTATTGATTTATTGCGAATATATATTATATATATATTTTTGAGTAGATAAACATCATTTCTTTATTTATTCCTATATTATATAATATACATTTCAGAAAAAAAACATCTCTCATGTGTATTTACAATGAGTTAAATGCTAGCTTGCTTATAGCAATCATCTAATATCAAAAAAAAATTTGAACTAGTATAATTGTTAAATGATATTGAGTAATTATAAATACCTACTCAGAATTAGAAAAAATTAAATTATGATAGTTAGAAATAAGATTAAATACTGTATATAAAAAGTAATTAAATTTGCTTTTATAAATATTTCAATAACAAAAGTTAATAAGATTATTTTTTTGAGAAGATTAATTTTTTTATATTGTAAAAATTAAAATTGATTTTCAGTTTTTACTTTATATCTGTAAATAGTTATATGTTTGCCATACTATATTATGGCTTTTAAATAAAATTATAGAAAAAATTAAGGTTTTGATAAATGCCTCAAATCAAATATTACAATTTGAAATTAAATAAATATTGAATATAATTTTATATATTAGTTTAATTACTTGCTATATAATAAATATAATAAAGAAATATTATTTGATATTAATATTAAATTAATAACTTCTATTATTTGTTTGACTTCCTTACTAATTAATAAGTAACTAAATATATATATAATATTTTCAAAACAAAAGTTATATTTGAAATAGTATAAATCAATATATTAATTTAAATATAACTAATAAAAAAAATTATAAGTAAAAAAAGATTTTATAATTATAATAAAATTTTATTTATAAAAGTAATTTAAATTCAAATTATTTTTTAAAAGTAATTATTATTTTTATAAAAAATTTTATAATTTTTAAGTAAATTTTTTAAATAAATATTTTTATTCCTTTAATTAAACTATTAGTAATATGTTTATTAATTCATTTATAAAAAACAATAATACAATATACAATATGATACTATATTAAGATAAACTATTCTTATAGTAAAATATCTATCAATCAATTATTTATAAATTTGTATATAATTCTTGAATTCTTAATATTAAGATCATTATATTACTTTATATAATCTAACTATTTATTAACTATTTTATTACAAGAAAGTAAATTTATTAAGCTATTATTATATAATATTAATTATTTTAGATTTTTCAAATTCTAACTCTCTAGATATAATTATAAGAAATAATAGAGCTATTTTTTCTCAAAATTAGATATCAAAATCTTAGCTTTAAGAAATTAAAGCTAGCCTATATTTAGATTATTACTTCAATCAATTTTATAATTTTAAGAGGTAAAAAATTTTTATTTTTTTAAAAAATAAAGAAAAAGATAAAAGAAAAAGAATAGTTTGTACTAATAAATAATAAGTAATACCAGGATAGAAAAGTATATAAAGATTGTATTAAAGTAAATATTAGATTCTATAACTTTGTTTAAATATATTTTTTAAAAAGTATTTATAAGTTTAATAATTATAATAATATTAATAAGAATAGTTTTATAATAATAAGGGGGTTTGGATTATAAAAAAATCAAAGAATAAAAATATACTGTCACAAGTCTTTCTTTATGTAATTGAAGGATAAATAAAATACTTAAACTTGAGTAGACTTCAATTAGAAGTTCTATTTTATTATACAAGTTGTCTTTAGTATTCTTGGATTTCTGAACTGGAGCTTATTTGTAATAAAGAATATAAAATATTTTTTTTTGATCAAAACTATCATATATGAAAATTTTAAACAAAATAAATATAATTAGAAGAAAAATTTTTTTGTTATATTTTATATTTATATTTTTTTATATTATATTTTATATTATATATAAATAAGTTTCAATAAGATATTTTTTAAAAAATATATTATATATATTTAAAACCATAAATTTTTTTAAAATAAAATTTTTAGTTGGTTTTTTATTTAATTATTTACTTATAATATTTATCTTAATATTTTTTTGTATTAAAAAAATAACTTATTGTTTTAATTGATAAAAATATTCAAACTTTTATAATAATATGTTTTTTATAGAATTTAATAGTTTTTTTATATAATATATTATATAAAAAACTTAATTAGATAAGTATTATTTAATTAAGTATATTAATTATAAAAAGTTTATAAGATAAAATTAATTTTTATAATAAATAAATTTTTTTTGTTTAATATTTTTTATATTTATATAGTTATATATTATATATAATATAAAAATATAAAAAATATAAAAAGTATAAATATAAAAAAAAAAAAAACTCTTTCTCGCAAATCCTAAAATTCCTAAAAATTTCCTTTTTTGGTAAAAACACAAAAACTCCAAGAAACATCAAAGAAAATACTCAAAGAAAACTTTCATCAAGAAGAAATACTCTATTGATTTCTTCCAAACCAAAGCAGGATACAGTAAACAAGTATAACTGAACTTAAAAGAACACTAACTCTTTCTTTTATTTTCAAAACAGATAGATATACACTTGTTTTTTCTTATTGGAAAAGAAGAAAAAACAAGGAAAACAATTCATAGTTAAATTAAAGAGAAAGTCAGTACCGCACTTCCCAAGCTACCAGCCAGTCGTGTACCAGATTAGATATCTCCTCTAGTCACTAGTAGGGCCTTGTATTAGCCAGATCACACCCGGTAAACCAGGCAACCTCACCACTGACATAAAACCAGAAGGGTACCAAGACTTTCTCAACACTGTGTATAGAAAAAAAGCAAGGATCAAATCAAATTTACATTATAAACAACATTCGTCGCGCGAACAGATCTACAGTAGGATCAAAAAACCAAAACCAGTTTGCCTCCACCAAAAGATCAGCAGTAACACAGACACGTGTGCATAATTCTCCACAATCCAAACAAGAAAACAAACATGTTTGTTTACGGGGTACAAAATTAAGGTTCAATTATATTCCGTGTGCAAAACAACAACAAACAAACAAACAAAACAACAACAAGACCTGAAAAACATGTGTAACGGAAAAATAGCGGAAAAATGTCCAAACAAAAATATGTATAACACAACTGCATATAACTGACACAATGACAGAAATCCCAGCAATTCCATTGGAGGAACAAATCATAGAACACCTTAGAACACTAAAAGATTACCACAATAAAGACAATCAAAGATGGCTGCGTACTCTCATAGAAGATGGATTAACCAACACAGCATCAGAAATTTCAGATCTGGGAGCACTCATAAATATCACAATCATTGATGTGGTAGCAGCAAGACTTCTTAACATTAATCCAAACACTGTAGTCAAATAGGCATTGGCTAAGGAATATATCAAACAAATATGGGAATTCAATCAACAAGACATGAATATTCTAAATAAGGTTCTCATTGAAGATTCACAACAGATAGCCCAAATCTTAAGTATACTGCAACCAATTCGGGATATTTCAGAGCAAGGCAGTTCTAAACAAATTCATATAACAAATAATGACATAAACCAGGAACCATCAAACATGATCCAACAAATCCCGGAAATAGAAATGGAGGAACAAACAACAGAAAATCCAATTGTAACTGAAGAGACACAGACTCCGGAGATAATCATGGAAGAGCAACAAGCCTCAGAAGACAATTCAGATAACTATAGTTCCACTTTGATCCAAAACTTGAATATCAAATCGATACCCGACTACGCAACAAGAAACAGGCAATATCAACCATCAAACCCCTTCTATATCTGCAGAGAAGAAAGATACACAGCTGGGGCAATAATAGCTAATATACCAGGGACTGCAAATCAGAACAGATAAAATACTTGGCAAATATATTGAGGCTCCCAGAAAATAAACAACATCTTATTCAACCTACCTTTTTCAATGGTAATGGGTGGTATGTAAT